AAAAGATGGAGAGAGCATTCTCAGGCCACCAACCACCCCCAGTATATTCCCAAGTACATGAATATAGGAATAGAGTCACAAATATGATGAATGAATGAATGAATGAATGAATGAATGAATGAATGAATGAATGAATGAATGAGCCTTAAACAGTTATTTGCTGGGAGTAGGGAACCCCTATAATGACATTAATTTATCATTGTCTTTCCAAGCAGTTCTCCTCTTGCTTTGTTGGGCTGCAACAGCCATTACAAGTTCCAGAGATCATTTTTGGAACTGCTAAATCAATCACAAGTTTTCTTCATCGTTAGCTGACAGACACAGACTCATCCTAACCATGTCAAAATTGTGCACGTCTCTGTGTTTGCTGTTATTTCTTTCAAAAGAATACATTTCTGCAGGTTCAAGAAAGCAGCTACATTATTGCCTCTTTTAGTATCTGTATCGCTTAGTATCAAGGAGTTTTTTCTTATATTAGCATACCAATTTTAATGTAACATAGTACAGTCACTTTGTTCATATTTTTTAAGAAACCTATAAATCATAACTATAAACACTTTTTAAATATAAGAGGTATTAAAATAGGGTTAGCATAGACTCTTTTTGTACTCCTCCTTCCTGTGGCATAGTAGATAACAGTTTGGGCTTTTTTCCAGCAGATGGAAAATAGATGGTGTCCACTTTTCATCTTGTATGAATGTATAGATTTCCACTCCATGTTGCCATCAGAGTTTGGTATCCTGTGGAAGCCAGTGCATGGGCAGACACACATGCAGAGACCCCCGCATATAATCCATTATATGACCTCCAGTCATACAATACATGAGGATGTTTCTCTCTTAAGTGATGTAACAGCATGATATGTGGAGGGAAGGAGCCCCTCACTCCCGCTTGCATGATGAATTTTGCCACTTAACTATGCCTAAAGAGGGCTTATATTGCATCTCACATGAGTGAGTGTCAAACGGTTGCAGTTGGGAAGGAAAGCCATTTTTCAAAAGTATTATCTCTTTTTAAAAGATGTTCCTTTGAATATGTACCAAGAAACATTTTGTTTGATTGCCTAAGTAGGATAAAGCATCAGTCAGTAGGATTTATACTTGTTTAGGATCAAAATATTTGTGAAGTATTATGTTGGAAATAAAATGCTTAAATATTAATATTTTAAAATATATTTAAATTAGATTTTTTAACACTGGCACGCTTAATTTTATATGCTATCGTGTCACAAAATATTTTAATGGTAAATAAAATATTGATAAAAATACATAACGAAAACTGGCTCTGAGGGCACAGATGAGAAAATGAGGATCATTAGGTTTACTTGCCCAATAAATTTCTGAATATAAAACATGCTTACAAAAACTTACAGAAGAATAGCAGCAATGAGAACCACAGACCTGTATGGAAACTCCTCTCTTTAAAAACAAAGCAG